TGAGGTTATCCATAAACATATTTCAAGAACCTAATATCCTGTTCCAATCAATTAGGCCTTTCTCTTGTGCTTCTGAAGTGCATTAGTGGAATCAATTGCTGGAGGTGACTATGGGCTTCGGCATCAGAGACAACTGATGGTAGAACCTTTTGGTCTGTTGCAGTGATTTCCAAACACCCTAATGAGAACAGCCTGATGCCTTGATGTCATCCAAATGCCCCACTTTGGACACGCTACTCCCAGCACCTAACTCTTGCAAAGCAGTGGCCCATCTAGAGGCCAGCTTCAGGTTGCAACCAATGTTCCCTCTAAGCTGTGGGGTCTAGTGAGCAAAAATTCTACTTGGTGAGCTACTGGCATTAAAGTTGTGAGCGATTTGGCTACTGCATAAATTAGTTTGCTCTGGAGCCATCCTTCCTGAGCCAAGGCAAAAATGTGTGAGCCAGAGGCTAAAAAACTGTGAGCTAGCTCACACTAACTCAGCTTAGAGGGAACACTGGTTGCAACACATCAATAGACCTTAAGATATCATTTAGGGATTTCTCTTCTTTGCTATGTGTGTTACATGCTCCCACCACTTCCCTGAGCTAGTAGAGGTTCTACTGGCAGGACTGTCTGGGTTGGTTCCCTTTCAATGAGAGTGCTTCAGAGACTTACGTATGCATATTTGTAATATTTTCTTAATTTACAAATATAAAAGTACAGCAAAAGTACAGGCAAAAAGGCACCCCTAAAATGCGGCAGGGCTACTGCCCCATATTAGATCCCCACAAAGGAAGAACTGGTGCCCCCAGACTCTTCAGCCATCTCTCTCTCTTATCTATATATTCACCTCCCTTCTCCCCTAAGCTGGGAAGGGTCACCTCCTTCATGCTTCCATGGGTTCTTGAACAGAACTATTAGGAGGCCATCTCTTAACAATTCATGACCACTGAGGAAACATCAGGTAACTATTTTGGGGCACTGACCTCATAAAGGGGTGGTAAGTCAGCAACTGACATAGTATTTTATTCTCCTCATATTGTTAAAGAAAGTCCCTAGAGGCAGCGCTTGACTTCCAACTAAAAAGCGGAGGAGCGAATCCTATAAAAATCAATCAGTATCAGAAGGAGACGCTGAAATCCCTCTTACCCAGTTGATCAAAGTATGTGTCTATGCCATCTGGTCCTGGGACAGAACACACCAGCCGAGCCTTGTTGAAGGTGCTCCACTTGTTGACTAGCACCCGCTGTCCTCCTGCGTCATTCTGAAAGGAGAAGGGTACCCCTATCACTGTTGCCAGTCCAAGGATTCAAAGGAACTTTCATTGATTCAGTTTCAAAAGATATACCCAGTTTCAAAAGATGTACCCTCCAGAAGCTAGTGAGGTTCATCCCCACATCTTCTGGGAAAGCTCGAATTTAAATTCCGTGTGCTGACAAAATGAGATTCCAGGTGGAGAGTAGCACAGAGGAGGACTCTCAGTCATGGTGCCCTACATGTGAAATATCCTCTTTAAAGTAGCTCTTAAAGCCTTGTTAGTTGCCGTTGGGTTTTGGTTTTTTGTATTTTTCATATCTCCGTGTGTGAATGTGTGTGCACCTGGAAGTCATGGCGACCTCAGGTGACTGACTGACTCCTACTGGGGGCCTGGAGGATATTCAGAGAGGTGGCTGAATAAAGCCTGCCCCCACCTCCCGCCTCTGGTATTTCAAGGAGGTCTCCCATCCAAGTACTTGCCAGAGGTGACCCTGCTTAGCTTCCGAGATCTGATGAGATCGGGGTTGCCTGGGCTGTCCAGGTCAGGGCCCATTACTTGCTTTTTGATGGAAAAGTAAAGCGCTTTTGTAGGCATTTCTACGAATAACTCACTTGAGTCAAACAAAGGCATCACAACCACTGAATCTGTTTTCTTTCTTTGTTTTAAATGTGCATGTGTGTACGTGAGAGAGAGGCTGTTTTGTTTTTGCATTTTTGTTTTAAACGTCTGTCTTTGAAGTTGAACGTTTGTCTGGCAGTTGAACAGTCTTTGAGTGATCCCATGACATGTGTTTTTTATCTTCCTCTCCCCATCCCCACCCAAAATCCACAGATGGGATCATTTGGGTACTACAGAATCAACTGGAGCATTCCGCTCATAGGAGTTGCGTTTCAATCCACACTCACAAGAACCTTCTCTCTTTTGAACACAGGCTACCGAGATACATGCTGTTCCCATTGAAATGCTCCTACGAAATGAGCTTCAGGTTGCATTCCAGGAAACCTGGACCAAAGTGTGTCATCATGGCCTAAAATAATTTGTTTTGTGGGGTGGGTATTAAAAAGTTATAGAATTGTTCAATCCACATAATTATGAAATATCTGCATATTTTGTACCCTCCCCATTTCAAACACTCACCAAGAGAAGCTATTTCTATGTTTGTCTCCACATTGCAAGTGTCTTTATATTTCGTTTTCAAGTAATCGATACGTTTTTTATCCTGCCATTTTTTTAAAAAAAAAACCTTGTGGATCATAAAATCAGAATATAAAACAATATAGAACAATTGCACTAGGGATGGGTATGAACCAGGAAAATGCAGTTTGGTTGATGATTCATGGTGTGCCCAGTTCATGAACCATCATGAACTTTTAAGAGGCAAACAAGCCAGTTCAGTTTGTGAGGTCCATGGTGCTGTAGATCAGCTTGCTGACCTGCTAGAGACACCAAACTCACAAGGGATCTCTGGCTGACTCTCCTCTACCTGCCCTACAAATTTGGTGGGGATTGGATTTACGGGGTCTGGGTTATGGCCCCCCAAAGAAAGTGTACCCATCCTCCATTATTTCCAATGGAGAGAGGAAAACAGCAAAAAAGAGTAATAGAAGCCCAGCAGAACAAAGCCTCAGAGAATCTCTGCAGTAGAAACTGAAGGGGGGGGGGCATTTTTGCAAGCCCAGCAGAACCAGTGCAATATACTAGTGTCCAGCAGAACCCAGTGCCAGTGTGGCAGTGCCAGCTCCACAGGAATAATGTAAAGCACAGAATCTCAATCCATGCAGGGGGGCAAATTGCAAGCCCAGCAGAACCAGTGCAATGTACTAGTGCCCAGCAGAACTCAGTGCCAATGTGGCAATGACAGCTCAATCAATCCAACTGGGGGCATTTTTGCAAGCCCAGCAGAATCAGTACAATGTACAGAGTGCCCAGCAGAACACAGTGCCACTGGCATTGCAAGCGTGGAAGCGGCATTGAAGCATGGAAGCGGCCTCGATGCCGGAGCCGTCGATGTTGAAGGCTTCTCAGATGTTGAGGGAGGGTGTAACGCCGACTCAAGGAGCGCCACTTTAAGGCGCGCAGCTCGATTTTTCCTTGTCTGGTTCGAAAAACGAGCACAGTGCCAACAGGACTCAGGTCGGTGAGATTCCCCCAAACAAAAATACAAAGGGTGTGGCGGTCAGGTGGAGCAAGTTTACTGCCGCAACCCTTACAATGGTTAAAAAAGCCCCACTTCTTCTCCATAAAAATAAAGTTGAGAAGAAAGAAGGGGGGGAGCCCGAAGGCCAAACTGAGGTACAGCGGTAACATCCCCCTCAGCAGAAAACAATATATACAGACCGACGGAGAAAAGGTCTTTCCAACGCGGCAGTAAGAAAGGAACTGGCGGGATGTCCGCACCCTCCCCTCTGGGCATGCGTGGTGGGGTTCCTGCACATGCCCGAGGTCTGGGCGCGAAAATCCGTTAAAGAGCTTGCTACAATGCCGATCGATCCAGCGTGTGCGCACTAGATCCCATGGGTGTGAAGCACAGAGACCACGTCGAAGATCACTTTTACTCCAACAGCTAGGTTCACAGTGACTGTAGTTTTTATATTAATACGCTATTATGATTATATCACATTATAAGAAAATAACAGAAGTCTTTAATTAATAAAGATACCTACAGTACATGCAGCTGACCTCAATAGGGGGGGGAAATGGCTGAGTACAGACACAGAAAACGCAATGTTACCACTATAAGTAGTTAAACTTATAACAAAAATTGTAAACTGTTACCCAAAAGCCAGATTCTTAATATAATACTCATGCCAAGATGGAGGAAGAACTACTTCCTTTGACTGGCAGTGGAAGGGTTGGAGTTACAAATGGAAGAGGAGAAGAGAGGTGAGGCTACTCACTCTCCCTGCTTCACTGCGCTTCAGTCATTGATAAATGGCATGATTGCCATAGAATTTCATTGTGGCATGCCACATGGTATGCAGAAAACAAACATTTTGCCTTCTGCGCTGCTGCTGTGTTACATGTTGTCTTCCATTGCATTAAAACCAATTCACATTCTACAAGCTTGTGTTCTAGCGGAATCTACTGTACCCATAAAAGTTCATGATTAAGTGTAAAGTGTCATGAGCAATGCTGTTTACAAGTTAATGTCATCACCCACTAGGAACCCCTGGGATATTCAACGAATAAGGCATCTCTGTCTCCTCTTCTCTCACATATACATACGTACACATTGATGTCAGAAAGCTCCTCCAGTCTGTACTGCCAAACCCCACTTTCTTTGCCCCATTCTATTGAGGAAACAGAGCTGGATCCACCTGCACTTCAGCAAACACAGGCCATTAGGTTCCAGTGACGGCGCTAATCTCTGATTGGAAGAAATATGTCTCAGAAAGAGGTTTGTTTTCCTTAGACAAAGCCTGCTGAGATGCATGCCAAGCACAGCTACTAATTGAGCCCTGAATCCTCTGGACACCCAGGTTTTGTTTTTTAATGATCCACAGAGATGTGATGGGTGGTGCAGCTTAACCTGTCCATTGTGTGCATTTTTTGCCTGCCAAAGATGTTGGAGAAGATACAACAGCAGATTGACTTGGCTGCATTGAGCAGAGCATCTCCTGTGACTCATTTGGCAACGTGTCAGCTCTCAGTCAGATCGCATCCCCACTCCCATCTCTCAAACAAACGCAATCCCTCTTTTTGTAGAGATGGATTAATCCAATAAATAACATTAGCTTCATTTCTGTGTCTTCATGTTTATTTCAAGGATTAGGGGGAGAGCAAGGAATTCACAGCCAGCAGAGCTTTTCTGTTTGGATGGAAAGCTGCCATCTCCTCCGCTATATCCCTGTCTGGTGAGTACTGCCTGGTGCTTGTTCCAAAGAATGAGAATTATTGCAGGCAAGCGTTGCCACAATCATTTCTTTCTAACAAATGCTTCTGCTCAGCATTTCTGCAGCCTGGGCACTTTCGGTTGTGCAAACAGCAGATGTGGAAACTCTTATGTTTAATTTTTATATACTTTGTTCTATTGTATGCCTGCCGTGTTTTCAGGAGTCCAGAAAATTGATACGTTCTTCTGTTTAATGACATAGCTGACTCCACCAGATTGATGTATTTTAGTGGGGTCTGGACCACTGAATTCAAATCATGGCAGAGTAGTGTGCCCTACCCCATAGCCAGATATTTTTTGGTGTGTGTGTGGGGGGGGGGGCTGATGGGTTGGCAGGTGGGCTCTCCTTCTCCGTCCCCATTTGCAGAGGGTTAGGAGCCTTCTGCGTGCTGGGAATGGAGAGGGAGGAGGGCCAAGGAGGCAGGCAGGGCAGCGGGTGGCAAGCAGAAAGAGGCATCGAGACATCTCTTTCTGCTTGCCATCCGCTGCCCTCCCTGCCTCCTCGGCAGCAGCGTGGTGGCTGGGCTGGCTGGAGCAAGCGCAGTGAGGCACCAGGGCGGGCCATCCTCTAATGGCCTGCCCTGGTGGCTCACTGCGCCTGCACCAGCCAGCCCAACCACCACGCTGCTGCTGAGGGAGAGCTGAGGAGGCAGGCATGTATCTTTGCCAATGCGGCTCCCAGAGGTCAGGGGAGGCTAGCATCCTCCTGGGGAGGGCTGGGGGGTCATCTGCGGGGGACACTGCCCCCCAACCCTCCCCCATGGCTACAGGCCTGAGTGTGCCTTTGAAATGTTACCTCTGTTGTCCTGCTTGCTGTTCTAGTAATCTCTAGGGGGCATCTTCTGAAGCGCAGAAGCCCCTGTTGTTAAATATTCAAGTTTCTGGCTTTTAAAAAACCTTGCAATTTTAAAATTAATATTTATTCATAGATTTCCCCTACCTAGTTAGTAATAACCGAGCAAGTCTGAGACCCCAAGTATGAACATTCTTAACGTTTTGGAATATGATATCCTGCTGAGGATCAGAAAGTTCTTTGGGCTGAATTCACATGCAGAAATAAGGCAACACTGCACTAATCCTATATTAGGGCTTTTATGCATGGTTTTTCCCAACAGTTCAGGCTTCATACTGCTTTGGTTTATCCCTTGATTTATGCACACATTTTTATGCCTTTACTTTTCACTTCGTTTTTTTCTTTTTCATCCAGGTTTTTCTCCCGTTTCTTTTGATACCACTTTTACCCTAATCTTTTTCTGGAAGCTAATTTTTGAGTAACCTTTTCCCTCATGGGTAATGTTTCTGTAAGTTTCTGCTATCCACTCCCCCACACCTCCAGGCCACTTTTCTCTGAATTCCCAGGCTTCTACTAAAAAAAAAAAGTAAGTCTCTAGTCCTTTCCTTTGCAAAGATATGCCTTTTTTCTTTTATCTTTGTGAGGGAAGGAGGTAGAGACTTACTTTTTTTTTTTAGTAGAAATTCAGAGAACCAAGTTGACCTATCATTACAACATCCCAACATATTATTACAATATTTGGTGACTTTTTTTAAAAAAATGCAGCCATTATATTGATATATTGATACAAGCACACAAAAAATAAAAGGGGGGGTGCTGTGATGCCACCAATGACACTGCTGATGACAACAGAACCTTCCCTTGAAAATCCTGATTGTTTAAGGCATGTACAAAACTAAATAAACTGACTTCACAACTATGAAAATGCAGGGAGAGGGCAGACATGAGGAAGAACTGTGCCCAAATAGATTCCAGTGCTTGTGGATCAACTCAAAAGAAAATCAGAAGCAAGTCAAGCATGCAGCAAAACGTAGTCTGAAGAAGGACAAAATTTCGTGTTCTAAATTACTGCTCTGCAGAAATGGGTGTGGATGATAATACTGCAAACTCATGCAAACAACTCCTGCAGCCAAAAGACTGACCTTTTGCCCATATGTAGGAATTCTCTCCCCCTTCCCAAGCAATTTTGGACTTCTTATATAATAATAAACAAAAACATTCTGGAATGTCTATTCTACAACAAATCCCAAATTCATTAGATGCAATACCCCCAGAATATGCTGCATAATCTGTGGCAATTGGCAACCTCACTAATCTCTCCTTATATATAATTGAATAGTGGGTGCCAAAGTTCTAAAATGCCCGCCTTTAGTGTTAGGCCGGAAAAATTGCCACTCAGAAGACAATAGCTGGGTTGACTGGCTGCTTTGTGCAGTCCCGCCCAGCATTCCAAGGTCATTTGCATATGGAAGCTGATTGGACCACACTCCATTCCACACCTCAAACTCACACACACACACCCCCGCAAGGCAGTTGGAATTTTCAGTTGGGAGAGGAGAATGATGTCAGCTGCTCCCTAGGCAGAGGCTGTGTGTGTGTGTGGGGGGGTGGGATCTGAGGAGGAGGAGGAAGAGGGGGACCTCAGACAGATACAATGCCATACTGCGCACACTCCAGACAAGCTGTTGCCAGTCTGCAGGTGACAGCTGGAGAGATCTTAAAGCTTTGGTGCTACTTCAAAGTGTTGCAATTTATCAACAGAGTAGTGTTTTGGAAAATCTTTAGGAATTGTTTGGTGCATTTACGATGGGGCTCCTGGGGAACTATTGTTGCCAATCTTGGCCCAGCAGCCATCAAACCATTCTCTTCAACCCCCTGCTGTGCAGCTGACTTTCCCCTAGGGTTGCCA